AAACAATTATTATATTTTTGGCACTCTTTTTGAATAATTGTAAATAACACGCATATAACTTGGGTACTTTCTTTAATAGTCAATGATACAACCTACTTTTGTTTATCGATTCTATATATAAAAATATAAGTTCACATAATTTAAAACGTTATGATGTAGAATTAGTCTAAATAAGTCCGTAAACACATTAAAAATTTAACAGAAATACACATTTAAAAGAAATATTTAAGCACTGTATTATTATTTACTTAATATGTATTTAATACAGGCGGTAAAAATAATGGGCGATTTAAAAGTTAAATAACTTATCTCTTTAATTAAAAAATTAAAAAAAGACACCCCTAATTACCACAAAAAACTTTTTGAGCGGACACGTGTTTCGCCCACCTCACACGTGGGCATTATCACCGCGAAACTGTTGACTTTTATCTCTTTAATTGTAATTGGTAATTAGCCGATTGTACCTAAACCAGATGGGTCCCAAAAATAGACATTAAGATTATTGAAGACCGATGTAAAATCATTTAAGCATACGAAAACGATTCTCCAATGACTTGATGAGAAAGTTGGACAGTTGGGTCGAAGAAGTGAGTCCACCGACATTATAGCCTAGAAGCTCAAAGTCAAACCAAAAGTTCGGGGCGGTTGTACCAACTTTGAACTTAGCTTCCTATTTTTTCATCGATTTGCTATGATTTGATGTGAGATATGGTTCGAAACCAAAAAGTCATTTGACTTCAAAATCGCCCATTGATTTTACCTATAACGAGATTAAAAACCCAAATAAATTTTATTCTTTTCCGTTTTTTGCGTTGGTTTAATTTACATAGTGAATATACTCGTAAATTCTATTACAATTAGCACAGAATTATTATATTAGATATAAATTTTTAATGTTTAAATCAGTAACTAAAACAAGAAACGGTTTAACAAGGATACATAAAAGATATGGTGGTACCCCGAAATTCTGACGCAATTCATCAAATGATACGACTATTATATGTATAAATAATCAGTAATTTAGAACAAATTTGCAATTACAGTGATTACTGCTGGATATTATTATTTCTAATTAGATTAAATTTCGGAGTAGTGGACAATCACAAATGCCTAACAGTACTAAGTACTATAAATTTACTGGAACCATATCATCACTTCCATCCTTTATAAGTAATTTGAAGATAAAGTTAGTTAAATTTGAGTACAAACAAGTGTAAGAAACTGAACTTTACTAATTTCTGTATTATTATATTTTGCTGTAACTTATTAACTGTTTTAAAAATTCAGTTCGTATTAAAATTAGGTAGATGTTAATTAAAGGCCAACTTTGTCATCAAGTGAAACTGTTCCTAAAAGTTTATAAAAAATTCCGATATTCTAACGAGAAATAATTGGGTAAGCACCCTGCATCACAACTGATAACTTCCTCTTTATAATGGCGTCATCGCAATCGATCCAGTCGGTAATATAATAATAATTAGTATGTTGTCTAATTATACACCATCCCGGAATTAAATCCAATTATTTTAATTAAACAGGTCTAAACATACTTTTCAACATTAATTCTAATATGTAATATTATTGCACCTTCATATCATTATATTGTGTTTCATTGATGAAGACTTAATTTATTCTTTTTTTGTCGTCTTCTCCCAATTTGTCTTCGATTTCGGCTTTAATTGAAATGGGTATTAAATTTGACTTTTCACCATTCGTTCCATCGGGTGAAACGATCATTAACAAATTGTTTCCATTGCGATCACTCCTGGAATATATGGCCGAAGATGGTACTGGACGTCGATACCTGGCTCTTAATCTGAAATTGTGATTGGCAGGAAGAATTGAATGGTGAGGTGATATTATACTTTCACAGCGAAATTCGCATTTTTCGTGCTTTTGTTGCCATTCCAATACACTGGTTAACAATTGTATGTATCTACAAAACAAGAGAATGTCAAGATTATTGAAAATTTTTTAGAGCTAATTTCGGATACTGGTAAAATGTATCCGGGTATCGGATTCGGTTAATACCAGCCAGGATATCGCATAGAGGACACAATTTTAATTTTACTATTTAATTTTCTACATTTACTTAAGTATAAAATATTTTTTTAAGAAAACCTTGCAGGCTTTATCTCATTTTTTTAAATTTAGCAGTTTTTCTAAACTAATAGTGGTGTTTGCACTATATCACCAGCTGCATATATTGAGTATGATTCATATTTTTCTGTTTGAAGTGATTGAGATACAGTTTTTCTATATTTATGGTATTGTTTCTTCAGTTCAGCAACTAATAATTATTTGCCTTGTCACCGTTTTAATTGGAAAAAAGACACTGATGCCAAAGTAGTTTGTTTACCGTGAAAGAACAGAGCTAAGATGGGGTTGCAAATAATTTTATTGATGTAAAATCAACATCAATCAGTTTATATCAAAACATCTACAACCCGATTTTTTTTCCGATCTTTTACACATTGTAATAAGAGAAAGAAATGGAATCCATAGTTTCTTTAGCTTTGGGTTCATCTAATAAGTGAAGTTTTTCGAATCGTTTTCTAAGAATTTTGGATTATATGCATTTACCTTACCATAATCAATTCGATATTGTTTTGCGGGCTGTTTTGTGGTAATTCATAGAATTTCGTAGTTCCTTTTGCTAAAGGTAGGATAAGTGATGATTTGACAAGTGTTGTTATTAATTTGGAACTTCAAAATTCCGAAGACTATGACACTGAACCCGAAAAACGATATCGATCTAAAAATTTAAATTATCCATTTTCAAAATGAGTTTAGAATTTTTGAGTTCTCTTCAATTAAAGAATTAGAAGGCATTCATGGAATGTTTCTTTGTCTCCTTTTTAAGCTTCTAATACCTTCTATGGTCAATGTGAGCAACTTTCATTCATCATTTCAAATAATTTGATAGCTGAAACTAGCAAAACTATTAACGGCAAAGTGCGTTTTGCATTTAACAAATAGAAAATACGTTTGGAAAAATACGTTAAATAAAATACAAAATGCTTTTCTCAAAAAGTGCAAGATAAAAATAGGTATTTTTTATTTTGTATTTACAATTTAAATGCAAGTGTTTCAAATAAATCACATCTCTGGAAGGGTTTACAAGTTAAGATAACGTCTTTACAAAGCTGAGATTTTCTGGATATAATTTATATTTGCAATTTACACTTTCCACTTTGCATTAGAAATCATACCAATGACACCATCTTCTAGAATCACTTAAGATCAATCCAACTTTGCCTTTGTATTCGTAAGTGGTCATTCGTTAAGACACAGGAAACGTCGCAAGGTGCTATCGAGTAGATAGTACGTTATCTTCTACTATCTCACTCGCACTACACATGAAAGATTAATTGCGGAAATATCCGAAAAATAATGATTCGGATAACGTACAAATTCTCAAACGGGTAGGTTACAGCCTTTGAATATACAAATATCGTAATACTTTACTGAGTACCAGGCCAATACGGATAACGTACAAATATTTCTCAAAAGACTCCGATACTGCCTGTTAATATAGGGTTGTTCGGAAAGTCATTTCGTTTTTTCCCGACAGAGGATTTAATTGTATTCTTTTGCACCTAANGAAATTGTGATTGGCAGGAAGAATTGAATGGTGAGGTGATATTATACTTTCACAGCGAAATTCGCATTTTTCGTGCTTTTGTTGCCATTCCAATACACTGGTTAACAATTGTATGTATCTACAAAACAAGAGAATGTCAAGATTATTGAAAATTTTTTAGAGCTAATTTCGGATACTGGTAAAATGTATCCGGGTATCGGATTCGGTTAATACCAGCCAGGATATCGCATAGAGGACACAATTTTAATTTTACTATTTAATTTTCTACATTTACTTAAGTATAAAATATTTTTTTAAGAAAACCTTGCAGGCTTTATCTCATTTTTTTAAATTTAGCAGTTTTTCTAAACTAATAGTGGTGTTTGCACTATATCACCAGCTGCATATATTGAGTATGATTCATATTTTTCTGTTTGAAGTGATTGAGATACAGTTTTTCTATATTTATGGTATTGTTTCTTCAGTTCAGCAACTAATAATTATTTGCCTTGTCACCGTTTTAATTGGAAAAAAGACACTGATGCCAAAGTAGTTTGTTTACCGTGAAAGAACAGAGCTAAGATGGGGTTGCAAATAATTTTATTGATGTAAAATCAACATCAATCAGTTTATATCAAAACATCTACAACCCGATTTTTTTTCCGATCTTTTACACATTGTAATAAGAGAAAGAAATGGAATCCATAGTTTCTTTAGCTTTGGGTTCATCTAATAAGTGAAGTTTTTCGAATCGTTTTCTAAGAATTTTGGATTATATGCATTTACCTTACCATAATATCTTGAAGTTTTCAGTTTTACACAGCTAGGGTATATCAATTGGATATTGTTTTGCGGGCTGTTTTGTCGTAGTTCATAGAATTTCGTAGTTCCTTGCTAAAGGTACGATAAGTGGTGATTTGGCAGGTGCTGAGATCAGTTTTGGACTTCAAAACTCCATGGACTATAACATTGAACCCGGAAAACAATATCGATCCAACATTTTAAATTTTATGCATTTCTAAGGAATTTAGATTTCTTTGGACTCTCCTCAGTTAAAGAATTAGAAGACATTCATGAAATGTCTCTTTGTCCCCTTTTTAAGCTTCCACCTTTAATGGTCAATGTGAGCAACATTCATTCATCTATTTATATGATGTTTGATCAGTGATACTAGCAAAACTGTTAACGTCAAAAATGTATTTCGTATTTTACAAATAGAAAATACGTTTTGGAAAAGTATTTTAAATAATATACAAAATGCTTTTCTCAAAAAATAGAAATAGGTATTGTTTATTTTGTAATTACATTTTAAATGCAAGTATTTGCTAAAAGCAAACATACGATAGCGGGGTATTCCTAGACTTTGTAAATGATTTCCGTAGTATAAACCATGAAGAACTTTAAAAAAAAAGTGTAAATGTGAGATGTAAGTAAAAACTACTACACCTAGTTGTAGATTATCAAATACAAAGCAATATGTGAAAATAGGTAATGTTCAGAGTACAAGCTGTACTATAAATATATGAGTCCCGCAAAGAACCATACTTGGATTCTTGCTCTTCCTCATACAAGGCGTACCTAATGAAAATAAAGGCGGAGTATGTTTGTATGTACGAAAGTTCACCGTTTTCTAGAAAAACGTAGGTAAAGGTAACTGCAACTTCAATTCCGGCCCTGGTAAAGAAATACGACCC